TCCGCTGCAACTTTGACTGACCGCTAATAACCAGATTCACCTCTTTTACAGATACAAAGCTCCACAGATGGCTTGCGAGAAAGAAATATGGCAGAAGATTGGAGAAGGCTTTGTCCAAGAATATTACAACCAGTTTGACAATACCAACAGGACAGCACTGGGTAACCTCTATGTAAGTTTGTACAGTGTCTGTTTTATTATTGCCTGTTTGTTAAACATCAACCAGGGTCCCCGTGGATCCTAAAATGTTTTGAATTTAGTATTTGATAGTCAAGGTCTAAAAATGTCTAGAATTGTTGGAGGGGAGGCATTAAATTTGGTCTGAGGTAGTGTTGTCACGGTACCAAAATTGGGACCCACGCTACGATACCAGTGAAAGTGTCACGGTTCTGAGTAGTATCAGGATACCACAGCAAAAATTAGGCAGATGTGCCTTTTGTCATTTATAAAAAGATAAATCACTTTTCTATAGTACATCAATGATATTTCAATGGAATAAATTACTTATTGACTTATTCATACTTCAAAAACAGCATCAATCAGTGATTAACATAGGGGGGGATCAAAATAAAATAAATAAATAAAATAAAAATCAACCAGCCACCCTCCTCCCCTGATAAGTTAAGAACAGTCCCGTAAGTGCGGTGAGGTTTGTGGGCCATTACCTGACACAAAGAGAGAAATGTGAACAGCTGGTTTCTCCTCTGAATACGTCACATACCTGTGTGCCGCCTTTTGTTTCTGCTGCTGGTTGAAATCTGTACTCGCACAGCATGCTCCTGAATGATTTCTTTTGCTCGCAAAAAACTATTTTTAGTTGCAAATGCGAGTAAAATGCTCACGCCGTAGAGCTCTGTGGAAAACGAATCACTGTAGCATATATAAACAAATCTAAAAAAAAAGGTACATAATGATACATATTATGGTATCATATATACCGTAGTGTTTTAGTACTGTGGTCTACCGTGCAACACTAGTCTGAGGCAGAATTAATGTCTATTTTTTGTTAAGTATTTGTATTTGATTTTACTATTTTTTCTTTTATATCGCACAGCATAGACCATTTCTTCAGCCTCCAGCACATATTTACTCATGCGTACGTTACCGCTTAGTGGGTGGCACTATTACACCTTGTGTGGCTGTGATCCACATTTTAACCTCAAAGAAGAACGTGTTTATCCAGCTTCCAATTGAAGGGGTGGGGCAGGGAAAAGGGAAAAGAAAAAACAAGAACATGGCGCTGCAAGCAGGCAGTGCAGGCTCAGCCATGGGTAAAGCAAATTCAGTGACAAGTAGTTGAAGAATGACAAATATAGTGGCTGTCTGAAACTATCTAGTGAGTTGTATAAGGCGTGATGTGAACTTTGTCAAGCCTTATGGTAGCGCTTGAAAAAGTACTATGGCCATCGAGTTGTTAGAATTAAACTGATGGATCAAGTGGTCCTCCATAGGCTGAGAAAATGCTTACACTTTTTAAGCTAAATAAACTATTAATAACAAGACTAAACGTCTAGTTTGTCCATTTCTTTGGCTGCAGTACTGGTGATAGAAATATGCAGATACTATTAACAACATGTGGTGTGCATGTATTTGATGTAAACATTTTTTTCTCTTAGTCTCCTGAGGCCTGTTTGACATGGGAAGGATCCCCTTTTCAGGGGAGAGACGCGATCACTAGCAAATTAGCAGTGAGTATCTCTTCTTGCTCCATTTGCATCAATCCTAGTCCGCAAAAAAATGTTGAAAATGTAGGTTTCCAACAGGTTATTTTCTAAGGGGAAGAAGGAGCGGAGCCGTTCACTGGCAGCTCCCTGTGTGTGTGGCCATGTATTATTGTACATTCCATTTATAAATTTTGTTGTTTCCAATCCACAGAGTTTGCCTTTCAAGCGAATTAAGCACATCATCACAGAACAAGACTGCCAGCCCACGGTAGATGGTTGTATCCTCATCATGGTGTTTGGGCAGTTACAGGTAAGATGGTACATTTTGTTTAAAACTTTGGGCCTGCACTTGGGGTCTGTATCACAAAGCGAATTCAGATCAGTCTGGCTATCTCTGGGTTACCTAAATTCACTGAACCTAATATTGATGGTCCTGGATCTTAAAGCTGGTTGTCAGCTGGCTCTGTTAGCAATGTTTTGTTTTTTGTTTTTTTTTTTAAATCCAGCTTCAGGCATCTGTTTTTCTTATCATACTGTATTTAGTCTTTGGGCACATTGGACTGTTTTTTATATATATGTTTATTATGTATTTATTATCTGTGAAGTATCACAGATATGAACACATTTGCAGTGTGGAAAAAAAATTCATATAGAAGACATTTTAACATTTAACATAATGTTAGAGATTTTCCTTTTTGTTTTTAAATCCTGACTTTGACTATTGATAAAAGTGTGATTTTTCAAAGGTGTATCGTTAGATACTTGCACAAAGAATGTCCGTACCCGTAGGGTTGGGTCGGTATGAGAAAAAAAAAAAAAACTGTCCCGTTTTTGTTAAAAAAAAAAACAAAACAAAAACAAAAAAAAAAACGTATCAAGTCGGTAATATCGGATTTTCGCCACATGGGGGCGCAATTGACTCATTTAAAATAAAAAACGACCTTAGGACAACAGAGTGACAGTAACAAGTTGTTTCTTTTATTCCTTACAAATAAATTTTGCAGCTGACTCAATCAGTGCAAACAAGGGATGCCTCCTTCGTCTGGCTCAAAGCCAAAGTGTTGCCATAGTGGCGCATTCTTTGATTTCGTCGAGACTAAATTGTCCGCCATTATCGACTCCCCGTCACTATTAAACAAACTCTAGGCTACAGTAGAGGCGCATGCGCACTCGCACCTCCTAGCTCAGTCCCCGCCCCACCCCCCTCTCTCTCCTGCTTGCTCCGCGCGGTCGTGCTTTGCGCGCACAGGGCTTGCGGACGTCCACTTTTACCGGGCGGACCTCCGCGGCGTCCGCTCCGCGTACGTTCTGCCCAAGTATGCGGTCCAGTCGGTCTCAAAAAATAAAACCCGGTCCAAGATGGAGTACCGGACCAAATTAGTATTACCGAGAACCGACCCAACTCTACGTACCAGATTTCAAGACTTTAGACCAAACAGATCAAATGTGCATTTTCCCTATCTTACAAATGTAGTCTTTGGGCACAAATGGGTTAATGTAAAGTGTGATTAAATTTGGTCAAACCACCATCAAAAGTAAAATGTATACAATCACATAACCAGAGGAGAGTAAGTAACATTAGCAACAATGTCCAAATATTAAAGTGAGGCTGAGGCTATAAATAAACATGGGATTTATTATACATGTCTTTAGTGCAGAGTGATTATTTGCCTCATGTGATGGAATAAGGGTGTAAAGCACCAACACTGTTAGGATGAAAGACACTGTAACTATGGGTGTTTTCACACTTGGTCCTTTTCAGCCCTCTGAGTGGACTCAGAGCTGTGACTCAGCATTTTTTGTGCATTTGCGAACACTCAGACCCCTCTGATACGAACCGAACGAGGTGGTCTGAGTTTGGTTCACTTAACCTGTGAACTGTGAACACAAAGTGCTCCAGGTTCACTTTGCTCTCCGCCATTGTATTTAGCCTTCTAGATCACACACTATTGCACTGGGATGCTTGAAAAAACAGACAAAACCACGTCAGCCTGTAACACTTGCAAGGACGCAGGATGAGGAGTAGTTTGGTCCACGGAAGATACTGCACATCTCCAGATGTGGAATGTAGGATACATCAAATGGCAACAGTCTACAGCACACAGAAACGCTAAGGGTTTCCTCCAGTTTTAAGTTAATCTGAAAGTGAGGGGCTTCATAACCACACTGCAGTGCCACATCAAAGTAAAAACAAAACTATATATATATACATATATATATATATATATATATATAGGCTATAGTGTGAACAGAAGAGGACTGAGTCCCCATCAGAGCTGAAGGTGAACACAAAAAGAACTGAGTCCCTTGTCTGTTGGTCCACCTTTGGTCTACTTTAAGAGGACTGAGTTTGGTTTGTTAAAATAGCACTACATGTGAAAACACCCTAAAATGCAGCTATGATCGTCATTGTGTACTTAGTGTGGTAAACTGTCCCTCCATTTTTTAGAAGCTGAATGATTCTACTGACCTATAAAATATTTATTATTCTGTATCTCTTGTCACCTTAATGTGAAGTCAGTAAGCTGGTCTCTGACAGAATCCTGTAGCCCAAAGATGACTGGTTAACCCACCAATCTTGCTTCATGTTACCAACCCCAGGTGTTACCACCTTTTGCCCCACTGTTATTACACACTTGCTGTATCTGATTGCAGTTTTTCTTATAAATCAATCGTCTTTCTTAATCTGTTTCTGAATATTGCATGAATAGTAAATAAAGTATATGACAGAAAAATAGGCCTGTGTAATGTATGTGTGATGCATTTCTGCTTTAGTCAACATTACCGTATGTCATCATTGTACTCACAAATACCTCTGTAACCTTTTCTGCAACAGGCAGATGAAGATCAACCGATGGCCTTTCACCAAGTGTTTATGCTGAAGTCCGTAAACTGCTCGTGGGCCTGCACAAACGACGTGTTCCGGTTGGGGGTACACAACATACCAGTGTAGCCATCTGAACCTGTTAGTTCGCACAGATTAATATCCTGCTCAGAAAGGCCTACTATGGTCATGCTGTCATTGAAAACACAAGGGATTACATGCAGACTTCCACCATGTTCACAATGCATCTACATGCATGCTCATTGTATGAAAGATGTGTTATATTACATTCCTGTCCAATAAAAGAGTTCATCAATGAAATACTGGCTCCGTTTTTCTGTTTCTTAATGTCACCCATGACTAACAGTGAGTAGGTTGCAGCAGGAAATTAAAAGTTTGGTCAAAGTGATTTGGGGTGGAGGGGGATTTCTATTTTACTATGCTAATAACGTGGTTTCCTATCATGTGTATGAGCACTGGGGGCGCTGCACCCTCTGTGAGTGGGTGCCAGTTTAAAGGGCTCAGCCAACAAAGCTGCATTTGCATCCACACAAGGTTATGGCACGGAGCTGGAGGAGCTACATTCAGCTCTCCTAATGACACCGACGGTGGAAAAATAACCTCAGGAAATGGATTTAATGAATATATGTCGGCAGCCTGATCGTCTTAAAGAGTCGGTAAGCAGTAAACTACTATGAACTGTATCCATAAGGGACGTAACGTTAAAATAACCAATAATATACGTAAGTTTGCGTTACTCTGCTGTACACCTCCGGATAACTGGAGGCGTATGAGTTTGTCTTTGTCAAATTAAAGTCTTTGCTTTATGAATTTAGGCAGGTTTTCGACATATTTATTAACGTTAGCTGTTACAAAACTGGCCTTAGCTGCTCATGTAAGCTAGCTAGCTTAACTGTCAGTAACGGTGTAACGTTGGGGGGTTGTCGGATATAAGACAATCGTCGAGAGAAGGGACAATGTAAGTGTTGGCAATAACAGACTCCCATTGGGTAAAGTAACTAGAAAACCTGAGACTGAATATGTAACGACATGTCTTTTGTGTAGTATCATGTTGTGGATGTTGTTGGACACAGTGCGCAGGCGCGGTGGCCTATTTCATAATTATAAACACAAACCCTTGAGCCGTTTTGTCTAGTAAACTCCAAAACCTGTAAGAAACTGTTCGTTACGTATGAGAGAGGTGTAGGTGGAGGTGGTGCATTAAAGAGGAGCAGAGGAGGCATGTCAAATGACTGTATAAGCTTTAATGAGTGACTTGTGTTTTTTATTTTGTCCTAAGTGAAGGGCATACAACTTAAAATGGCTGTAGAACGTCTTCCAAGTGCAGACAGAGTCAATAATAACAGAAAATGTTGGATTATGACATTTCTGATGGTCCTTGAACACATTATGTGGGAGGAACAACATAACTGAATCTAAACTGTAAACGGTGATATTTCATCTAAAGCACTTTACGTGTCTCATTTAAGATTTTGCCAAAATAAACTATTCGCGTTAACTCATTTATAGTGGAGGGAAGGTCATGCATTTTCCCCAAGTCACTCAGGGAGGCTCAACAAAAAGTATTTGTAGCTTCAGGTAAAGAACATCTGTAAAGAACAGTCCCTAATGATAGTAAGATTTACTTCCACTGATCGAATTTAGCAATCGAAATACAAGCCAGATACCATACCAAATGTGAGGTGAGAATGTGTTAACTTGCTGTTAAGTCGCTTACTCTGCTCTTGTTCTTTGCAGAATGGCCTCAAGGATAAAGACCCAGACTGGCAAAATGGTTCAGAAACAGAGGAAGAACCTTTGCTTCGAGAAAACCCCAGGCGGTTTGTCGTCTTTCCCATCCAGTACCCCGACATCTGGAAGATGTACAAGCAGGCACAAGCCTCTTTCTGGACCGTAGAGGAGGTGGGTATCAGTTCTACTATGCCAAGTAAATCTTGTCATTTGAGTGTTTCACCAGCTCGCTTATTAGGAAGTTTTACTGATCAAATGCATTTTGATAAAAACACTAACTTAACAGTCTCATTATGTTCAACTGTCCTACTATCCTTGGGGTCAATTTGACCCCGTTCAATTTTTAATGTCTCTTAAGAAATGGTCGATGTCACACTACTTCATATTTAATGACTTTTCTAAATCTAACGGGGACAGCTGGGTAAACACAAAACCAACATGATTATATGTTTTCAATGTCTGTTGATGTTGTGTCTTTCAGGTTGATCTATCCAAAGATTTGGCACACTGGGACCGCTTAAAGCCTGAGGAGAAACACTTCATCTCACATGTCCTAGCCTTCTTTGCTGCAAGTGACGGCATCGTCAATGAGAACCTGGTGAGGAATTTCAATCAGCTGTAACAGATGTTTTGTGGATTGTATGCTGAAGAGATGATCATTTCTAGATCAACCTACAACAAACACTAATAGATTGAAAGCAGATGATACTTTAAAATAATGTGACAGGGTATTGAAGTTATTTTTTCTTCATATTTGTGTTTCTGTCATATCCATCAGGTGCAGAGGTTCTGCCAGGAGGTGCAGGTCCCTGAAGCACGCTCCTTCTACAGCTTCCAGATCCTCATAGAGAGTGTTCATTCAGAGATGTACAGCATGCTCATCAACACCTACATCAGGGACCTGAAGGAGAGGTTAGTTCCTCTGATGCTCAGTGGCGATGATTAGATGGTAAAGATTATGTGCCTCAGTGCCTTTGGAGCAACTGCATATCCACACACAGACATGTTCTCTGCACTCATCTAATCTTCTGAAGATTCAGACAAACTGTAAGACTTGCACCTGTTCGTCGCAGGCTGAGTCTGCTCCACATTGTGGTTAATTTCTGATGCATTTCCAGCTACAGCAGCTTTCATGTACCAACAGACAAAGCAACAGTTTAACGGCCTCTGCATCAACTGGCAGTTCACAAAAGCTAAATGATTTTTTTTTTTTTTTTTTTTTTTAAATGCATCAAGTTCAATTCACTTTTGGGTATCCGTAAATTTAAAAAAAAAAACTGCAAGGCAGTCAATGCTTTTTCTAGTTACTGTATTCGCTATGCTGATGCTATGTGTTTATAGCTAGTAATGAAGGTCGTTTTGTATTTATCGTGTGTTTCAGGGACTACTTATTTAATGCCATTCAGACCATGCCTTGTGTCAAAAGAAAAGCAGACTGGGCCATCCAGTGGATAAATGACAGCAAATCCACATTTGGTATGAAAGATACGACATTCAAAATATCATATTGTACATCACATAATAATGAGAAAGTGTTGTCTAGAGGAGCTTCCTATTTACCTGTAGTTAATAGCAGTCTTAACACTTTTTGCTTTCAGGGGAGCGCATTGTGGCTTTTGCAGCAGTGGAGGGCATCTTCTTCTCTGGCTCGTTCGCAGCCATCTATTGGCTCAAGAAGAGAGGACTAATGCCTGGCCTCACGTACTCCAATGAGCTGATTAGCAGGGATGAGGTGAGATGAGTTCACACAAAAAAAGACGTGGATTTCATCTGTTAAAAGGATCAATTTAAGGTGTAGCTGGGGAAAAAGGTGGGAAGAGGAGTTGTGTATGATCTCAGGCTACAAATGAGAAATCAGAGTCAGGTCAGGGGTGAAGTTATCCAGGACTTCTTGTTCTTGCAGCACATTAAATAATACAACACAGAAATCTTAGGCATTGCTTTTGCATAGGCTGTGCAAGTCCTTCCTGCCATTTCAGGCCATTCAACTAACTTTAAGCTTAGTGTTCTGGATTACTGTTTGCATGTGCCACTCCTCTGATGTGACTGCTGGCCTGTTCAGCTCTACCATTCACACTGTGCTGTTTAAAAATGTTCAGAGTAGTCATGGTGGTCTTCGGTCAGTTTAGGTGGCAAATATGGTTACAGCTTGCACATCAACACAGTAAATGGCTTATTTTTTCTGGTTTCATATCATCTACTCTTACGTATATATATTTATGTGTTTCCTAGGGCCTGCACTGTACCTTCGCCTGCCTGCTGTACAGCTACCTGGTGAAGAAACCATCAGAGGACCGGGTCAAGGACATCATCACCAAAGCTGTTAGCATTGAGCAGGTCAGCTAGTGTTGGAGGAAATATGCTCAATCCAGACCACACATTTATAAATTGCTTTGCATGTTTTTAATTTGTTTGTTTGTTTTTTACATATCATGTTTGGTGTTGCAGGAGTTTTTGACAGAGGCCTTACCAGTGGATCTCATTGGAATCAACAGTTGTCTGATGAAGCAGTACATTGAGTTTGTGGCTGACCGGCTTCTCTCTGACCTCGGACTGGCCAAGGTAACTATCATTTAAAAGGTACAATGACAAAACAATGTGAAGGGCATCATCTTCTCTGGCTTTCATACATCTACTCATGGACGAGAGGTTTGTGCTTGTGACAGTTTAAGATGTAAACATTAGTGGCGTCCTCCTTGGCTGAGCTGTGATATTAGCTAGCTTCATGGTGCTGGGTGAGCTAGCAGTAGGTGCACGCTTCCATCTGCACAGTGGTGAGGTTGGCAGAAAGAAACTGAAACTGCTCACAACAAGGTCTGTGGCTTATCTTGAGTAACTGGGTCATGATTTCTGGAAAGAGACATTGCTGTTAAGTTTTTCAAATTATTTTTTTCTGCGCTTTGAGTACCCCAAGCTGAGTGTCACCTAATTCCACTATATTTTAGAGAAGGCAGACATCTCTATGACCAGTATCTCCGACACTCCACAAGTAACCCTTTTCTCTCTCCCTCTCTCTCTCCTCTAATCAAAGGTATACCAAGCTGAAAATCCCTTTGACTTCATGGAGTCCATTTCACTCGAGGGGAAAACCAACTTCTTTGAAAAACGAGTCGCAGAGTACCAGAGATTCGGGGTTATGTCAAGTACGATGGACTATGAATTCACTCTGGATGCAGACTTCTGAAATTTGGATGACATTTCGTACATTAGACCTATTTATTTATTTTTGTTTAAGCAGTTACTGACATAAAGCCATGCTCAAGTCTTGTCACAATACTATCATAGTATTACAAAGGACAAATGAATGGTTTTAGATTAAATAAAGCCGCACTGTTTCAGCGGGCATGTATAACTTTTGGTAATAGGGATTGAGAATCACACCTGGAGTTAAGCAGCCTCAAGTAGAGTGTATAACACATGGATCGTTCAAGCCCTGCTCATGTCTACTCTTTACCTCAACATACTGTAAGGCAGGCATATGACCTCAATTTTGGTGAGTGAGGTGATGGGAGAGATTATTCTGCATCTCATTGGACATTTGAAGATGGTTAATATCTAGAATATTTTTTTATTGAGTCTGCAGATCTGGCAGCTGGCTTCTATGGTTGATTGTTTTAACTTTTTTTGGTCATTTTTAATGTACAATAAAATGTTTTTTTAAAATGACATTTTCTTTGTTGTAATTAAATAGTGCTTGTGATGTAGCTATTAGACAGCATTGTTCAGCAGCTTCATTTTCAAATAGGGCTGCAACTAACAATTCATTTTGTTACTGATTAATCAGCCGGTTAGTTTTACAACCAATCATTTAGTCCATAAATTATCATTTAAAAAGTGAGAAATGCTAACAATTTCACAGAGCCCAAAGTGATGTCTTCAGATTGCTTATTTTCCCCAACCAAAACCTTAATTTACTATCATAAATGACCAAGAAAAACAAAATTATTGCATTTAAGAGGCTGAAACCAACAGAAAAATGACTGAAACGATTAATCGATTGTCAAAATAGTTGGTGATTAAATATCTTTGTATTTCAGAATATGAGTTACTAGTTATAAATATGGTTTAATGACATGATTTACATCTATAGAGCGGTCAGAATAAAGCCGTGTTGATGTGCATTGTAGTTTTACTGAAACTTGACACAGTCAGATTAGATTAGCCACTCCTCCGTTAGCATACGGATGCTGGCAATGATAGCTAACAGCTAGCTTGTGTTTTCGCATTTTGAAAAAAGATGGCTGGGGACCTGCAGGGTTTTGCGCTGGAAAAAGCCGAGCTGCTCTCCATCCGTTTGAAGGAGCTCCTGTCTTTGGGACAAGGATATGTTCGGGCTCAGTTCGGGGTGGATTTGGGTCTGAAACCTGATGTGTACCCGACGTGGGTCGTCCTGTCCACGGCCGCGGCGGGTCTGCTGATGCTCCTGTGTCTGTCCTGGGCCGCTGTCTGTGGCGGTGCGTTTGTCGGGAAAAAGCGAGGCTCCCCGGTCGCTCAAGGCAACGGTGAGCCTGGCAAGGCCAGTTTTGCCAAAGCTGCCAAACCAGAAGAACAGAAAAAGAGGAACAAAAAGAAAGCGACTGAAAAGGTAACATTGCCGAGTGGTTGAATCACAGTGAATCAAAACAAGAGCTGTCGCTAAACAGTGTTAAATCAGTTAGCGTCAGTTAGCCGTTAGCTAATTAAACACAGGTATCCCCATTGTTATTCTCAATAAAGTTGAGTTAACCGTTAGGTAGCCAACTTCGCTTTCTCATACACCATGAATTAGCTAACGATAGCATCACAGCCCACTTTGTTTACACAATATAAAGCTACCCAGGGACAGTCGTGTGACCCAGTTACTTTGACAAAAATAAACCAGTTAGCTAAAAATACACTGAATCACGTATCTCGTTTAGATCATGCCAGCTAGCTTAATATGTGTAAAACGTTAGCCACTTGATTAGCCTCTAGCTAATGATAATTCATGCTAGCTAACGTTAGGTAAAACGAAACCATAAGATAACCGAAGCATACCGCCTTCATGTCCCATTAATAAACTGTATCTATAAAGTAATTTAGCGTGTTTTTACACATTTGCTGCCGTTATTCAATCAGTAACGTCAATATAGCAGAAACATGAGTTCGACTGGACTACATTAGCTCATCAATCCACAGCCATGTGTTTGTAGTCAGGTGCAATTAAGCATGTAAAAATTACCAACCAAAATGGATCCGGTTTTTAGATTTAGATGTGTAGCTAAATTGATATTTTCTTTTTAAAAAGTATGTTCATGCAGTAGTTTGTGAAGCATACAAACTCACTACATTATAAGGATCCATCTTGAAATTAGTTGGTGGATTATTCTATAAATAAAAGATGGGTGTACAGATTTTAGGTAAGCATGTTTGACAGTAAGCATGTTTATCTTATGCCTGTGTTTCTCCTCCAGAACACTCAATCCAATGGACAACCCGTGGCCGTTGCTCAGGAGGAAGTCAAAGTGACGGAAGTAGTTTCCAAACTTGCCCAGCAGATTAAAACCGAGAAGGTATGTTTCAGCAGCCACAGTTATAGGGACCCGAACCTGACAATGGGCAGGGCAGCCACAAGTTGCGTCTTTCTCAGTTACATTGAAGACAGTTTTGTTTTTGGTAAAATGAAACCACATTGTGACTCCTTGTACATTTTACCAGTGAAGCATGGCCTCACAGGACTGCAGTGAGTGTAACCTTTTGTTACCTCATACTTTCTTTAAAATCACTTTGATGTCACTCTCCACAGGTGCATGAGGGACAGGCCCCATTGCAGGTGAAAAAGAACAAGAAAAAAACCAAGACAGATGTGAAACCAGTCCAACATGTGTTTACAAATGATGGGAAGGAACCTGATGATGGTAAGACTAAACTGTTGTAGGGGAAATTTCACAACATCCACCCATTGCAACCGCTTATCCTCTTGAGGGTTGCGGGGGGGCTGGAGCGTATCCCAGCTGACACTGGGCAAGAGGCAGGATACCAGCAGGCAGGTCGCCAGACTATCGCAGGGTTGACACAGAGACAGACAACCATTCAGGCTCACATTCACACCTACGGCTAATTTAGAGTCACCAATTAACCTGCATGTCTTTGGACTGTGGGAGGAAGCCAGAGTACCTGGAGAAAACCCATGCTGACATGGGGAAAACATGCAAACTCTGCACAGTTCAATTTTAATTTAAAACTAAGTGTTTAGTTTTAGCCAGTACATGCCGCTCATGTCTTCAGTATATACAACTTACTTCACCTTCTGTGGATTTGTTAAGCCTCAGTCATTACTGTTAAAGTCTTCATGTTGTAGCCAGCCTCTTGATTAAATAAACAACCAAACTTTATCCACAGTCAACCATCAAAATACTTACTTATCATTACCTTGCACATGGCAAGTCACCTAACCATTTGGTGGTGGTGTTTTTTGGTGGTGTTTTTTTTTTATTCCGTTTATGTCCACCAGGTGCATGGGAGACCAAAGTCAGTAACCGAGAGAAGAGACAGCAACGCAGGAAGGACAAGGGCCCCGAGGACTCTGGTGGCCCTGGAGGGGTGGAGACTCCCAAGAGCAACGTGGAGGCACCTGTGGCCACAGCACCTGTCAACATGAAGAAGAACAGAGGAAATCAGGGTATGCATGAGTGTGATGAACATGTAGTTAACATATGGTGTTGACAGGACTAAGCATATATATATATAGCACCTTGATGTAAACAAGAAATATCAGGTAATATTACAAGTTACTCAAGTGCATTTTTTGTCTATATTGATACAGAGTCCCTGCATTCAAGAACTACTGGAAAGGGGGAGACAGCCACTGGAGCTGGTAAGGATATAGTTAAACCTTTGTTATTGTGACTGAGATAGGAAAACTATTAAATAGCTCCCTTTTCTTTATTTATTATTACATTATTACAACATTATGGAAAGGACCCTACAGAGAAATGAAATGTGTTTCCTCACCTTTTACTGACCAAGTCTTGCAAGAGGAGAAGTCTCAGAGAGGTGAACACATTGTCAAAATCAGTTAAATATTCAGCCATGACATTGAAAATCTTTCAGATAAGAGGAAGATATGCTTTCTGTACTCCAACACTACAAATTCTTCTCAGCACTCCCCTCTCCCTTTCTAACTAGTGTATCCACTATTGTTTTTCCTGCAACAAATCACCTCTCACAAGAATTCATAAGACTTCTCCTTAAGCATGACTTGGTGACAGTAACAAACAGACCAGCAAAGGGTACAGAAAAACATTTTATTGCTCTAGGGATCTTTTCTGGAATATTATCAGTCTAATAGCAATCTTAGGCTGTCGCTAGCAAAAACAGGAACTTTAAAAGGACATAAATTGGCAGTGCACAATTGTCCCTAGGGATTACAGTGCAGCCTGTTAAACTGCTGCAGCTGCTGAAAAATAGATTCGTTTCTCTATAACTCTCAAATACAGAATCTGCTAGACTCAAGATTGTCACGTTTTGACAAAACTGCCAGTATGACTCCCTGTCTTCCCCCAAATGTTCCCCCACAGTGTCCTCCAGGTGGAGAGAGGAGCCATCCGTTAATGGTGGAGGTTGGACCCATGTCAACTTGCCTGTGAAGATCCCACGTCAGATGGGTTCCATGGAGGGGACCAAGTGGAGTGCCATCTCCACGGCTACACATTACAGGCCCCCCTCTAAGCCTCAGTCTTGGGGACAGGAAACACAAGGTACCACCTCGACCTGGGTAGACCTTTTACACCACAAAAATAAATATCTGTAGTGCAGTATAACAAAGCACATTGGATTGAAATGAAACAAGAAAGGTGTTTGAGAGTAGTTATGGTGTAGGGTTTGTAGTCCTTTTTATTCCTCAAGGACAGTCCAAATTTTAACTACTTACATTAGCAGTATGATCAGATATTTCATCATACAGGACCATTTGTGTCCATAGAGCTATTTCAGGATTTTCAAGACTAGCTACAGTAACAATAAAGCCCTGCCATTTTGACTGCTAACATATAAATAAAAGAAAATAATCACAATAAGAGTTTTTTTTTAATTTCACTGAGCTCATAGTAATGTTTACTGTCAAACTGAGCCACCTGCTGGGCAAAAGTGGTATTGCAAGAGAAAAATGAATTGGAGTGGCTGAGTTAGCTGGAATTGAAATCATTGAAAGTCTAGATTTAAATCAACTGATGCTCAACATTGACATCCAAAATAATATCTACTTTCATAAGACATACATCGTTGAGGGTTTTTTTTGTTTGTTTGTTTTTCTCCCAAAGAACTTGGATGTCAAGCACCGACATTGGGCACAATGAAAAAATAATCTTATAATCTGTGATAAAACCTGATAAAGGCCTTATGTTTACAGTAATTAAACCAGTTTTTAAGACTGTGGAAGGTGTATTTATACTGTAATTGAATGAATGACTGCACACCAGTTCTAGGAAAAAAGGTAGTTCTTGATATCTCCATCGACTCTGAGTGTAGACATAAATAGTTCAAATATATTATTCTTTAAATAGGCCATATAATCACAATGTGTTTCTGTGTGCTCTGGCCAGCAGCATGGAGTGGCATTGATGGCCGGATAAAGACTGACCTCAACCCAGTGACCTTCTCCATGCTGGGACTGAACACCACAGGTTGGTATTGTGAACACCCATCAGCTTTATCACTCAGGCATAAACCAGACTCGACTTCCAGAATGCGTAATCGAAGAATTACAATTTTATCTCCCCCACACTGACTAATTTACTTCTTTTTTTTTTTATCCCTCCCCCTCTCTCAATCACCCTTTGACTGTGTTTGTAGACCCAATATCAAATACAATGGAGCTTCAGTGGGCGAGGCGGCCTGATGTTGATGTTGATAACGAATGGTCCGGATTCAGTGAGTATTTCAGCAACCAGTTCCACACACAGAGCTCTCTAAATAAGAGCAGATCATGAAAAATAGGAGCAAAGCTGACAATGATTTTGTGATGATTCCCAAGTCTGTAAATCAAATACACGCACAGAAAAAAATATTCATATCTACCCCCTGTTTACACTTGGTTTTAAAATGTGTCTTGGGTGTTTGGATCACAAGTGGACAGCACTAAGTACAAGTGTAAACGACCACCAAGACACATTGTGATCCGATCATTCAAACCACTTGCTGAGGTGTTCTGAGACATGATGAGAGACTAATGTATTGTCTAACTGCTGCCCTGTTGATGTGGATTATTTTAGATGGGATGGCACCAGCAGACCCTAGCTCTGACTGGAGTGCTCCTGAAGTGCCATGGGAAAACTACGAAGAGCCCCCTGTGGTGGTGACACCAGCACCTCCAGTGAAGGAACAGCCTGTCCCCAACAAGGTATCACTGAAACTCTGTCAAATCGTCCACATGGCTGATTATGTGTCTCTAACTTATCCCTATGTAAGGCTTAAAAGTCCTTGAGATGGCTTTTACATTCTGGATTAGATTGCCTTGTTTTTTGGCACAGAATTAAGGAAGCAGCACAAAAGCTATGTTAAACAGTCCACTTCCATTCTTTTCTGTGATTCATACAGTCTTGTAGTGTCTGTTCCACAGAGTACCTATTGATTTCCTTCTGCCATGGACCCAGTGATCCTGATCTCTAAATAACCTATATGTCTGTTTCTATGATGGCAGGTATTAGAGGATGAGAAGGACACTGACGACCCCTCCGATGGAGCAGCCAAATCCAAAAAGAAGAGGAAAAAGAAGAAGAAAACAAAAGAGGAGGCTGCAGCTGAGGCTCAGGTAAGAAACAAAACCATCAAGCTGTCAGATTAATATTGTCCACAAAAGTATAAAACTGTTTTAATGTATTTATGCTATTTATTTGTACATGTCAACATCAAATAAAGATGTGTTTTTCCTGTTTTGTAACGTCGTTTAATTTCTTTGATTGTAGATGGTGAGCACAGTGCCACTGGTCAATACAACACCTAAACCCCAAGAGCCTCCTGTGCCGCCCACCAAAAAGCAGAATCCCAGCATATCAACCTCTCAGAGTAGGTTTCCACAGCTCAGACTCTTTTATATTCACTCACAATGAGGAAACAGATTTATTTCTTATCCTTCCTTTTTATCTTGCAGAGAAGTCTGAGCAGACTGCGGAGCCTCCGAAGCACTCCCAGAAGAAAAAGGCCCAAAGGGAAACATGAAGTCACATCACAGGTTCACACAAAGCATATGCAAATGATTGTAAAACGTGTCACATGCAATAATTACCAGGTACAGAGTTTCTTTCTGAGATACACAAACAATTTATGAGTTACCGAAACAAAAAGAAAGCTAGCGGTGGATATCACCTGCTTGGCTAAATATAGAGATGAAATGTGGTCCTGTGGACTGCAGTCTTAACTAATTTGCACTATTTGCTACACTGCAACCAGAGCGGAGTTTCAGGGGAGGTGGACTCGCAGTGGAGGTACATGTTCATGTGATTTTTTTTCATGGCATCAAAAGTTGTCCCCCCCCCCCCCCCCAGGTGTTTATAATTGCTAACCCAAAAATATAAAATGGGTGTTTATTTTTTGTTATATGAAAATTTACATGAGAAGCATACATTTTTGTTCCTCAGAATACTGCACTTTGTTTTGTTTGCCATGCTTCCACCTCTATATCAATAATGAAATGTGTGGGAGCAAGCTGCATGTGAGGGCTGGTTTCCAATCAGGATACAGTAGTTAAACACTCACATAACCACGTCTTCATTCGTCCTGGCCATGATGTCATACCCTCATAGTGCAACTACAATGTAAGAAATTGGAGACAAAAATGCACTCTAAAAGTTTATCTGAAGCTAATATGAGGCACAGTACAAAATTCTCTCCTTGTGTTTTCTTGCTTAGGTGTGAGGGATACATCCTGGCAGTCACATAGAGGTTTGTTGCCATGACAAAACCCTGATAATAAACCTACACGTGACTGCCAGGACCAAGGTTTGATTTGGCTGTTCTCAGACTGCTGAAGCCTCGTATTAGTTTTGGCTGTACATTAGGTGGCACTTGTGCACAGTAAGACCCTGATCAGACAAAGCACGTTTTAGCAGCCAGGGGCAGCTTTTTGTGATGGTTTTCAGTGAGGGTGAAGTGTTTTGCTCACTGCTTTTGTGTTGCTTAGCGCCTCACAATTTTAGACTCTCTGCACCTCGTGTTTTCGCAGGAGTGCCCTGAATGCCTTGAGTTGAAATAATTTCAATACAGAGTGGAAAAAGCTCCAAATGTCACTGGTGTTTTTGCCCCACTGCCCAGTCAGATGAATAGAGAGGCAGGTCCTTTGAGATGGCGATGACACGATGTCAACCTAATGTGAGCTCACTTTCAGCATCGCCTTAGGCAAGCTGCAAAACATATCTGAACGAACTCTCCTCTACTACTTTTACCAACCGTAATTAGGCCCGACGAAGGTGTGACTGCACAGCCAGTACGCACAGGAGAAGTGATCACAGCAACCGACTGTGACTCTTTAAACAAAATTACATGTGAGTGCTGTTAGGACAGGTTTGCCTATCCTTTAATTTAAAGTAAAATCTTAAAAAATTTATCCTTTGTGTTTAAACATTTATTGCCTGTAGCCTGTGTAGTTTATACAAGCTCCTTAATAAAGATTGGCAGCTGTTATCAGGTTGTTTCACAGCAGGCCATAGAAACTTCTCCACAACCACTCCTGTAACGTATCCCACCTCTTCACCATCCACACGTGTGGTAGCATGTTCCAAACAGTTGTTGTTTTGCCAAAATATGGTTACAAGCACTACTAACCTGAGCTTCAGAGCTGTGCGGAGAGGCATAGCAAGACACTCACTATGTTTACATGCACATAATATTCTGGGTTTTGCCCTTATTCCGAAAAAGACAATGTTCCTACAAAGGTGTTTACATGGCTAATAGAAACGAAACTTTCACTAATAGCCACTTTTTCTGGTTTTCCACCAGTAACGGACTTGCTTGACGCTGCAAACACAGCCTTCCTCTTTGAATCCTTTAACCACCTTCTTGAAACATTAAGCGTTTGCACATATCAAAAAAACCTATTGATATCCAAGTCTTTCAAAGAGTTTAAAAGTAGGCGTGTTTTTCTTTCCGACCAGAAATGTGGGCTTTTCTCTTGGGCGTGTATCTCTACCCCACAGCCTTACTAACTGTTGGTTTGTGTACAACACATCCATTACAGTGAACAGAATTGACCTTCAATAGACAAGGGGCTGTGTAAACTCCTTGATTGAGACGCATATTCAGAATGCGATGTATACATCTTTGAAGAATGCTCCTGAAACCTGAATAATACCAGCATATCCCACGTGTCTTAGGCCCTAGTCTCTATATACAGACTCTACATTCAGTGAATGTAGAGTCTGTAGGCAAACCCCAGAGATCTTGCCTCCGGAAGAAGAGCGGAAGAGCCCTGGTTTCCGGTTGTAGGCTGTTTGTAGTTCATGTGATATTGACCAATCACATTTGAGCCAGCTGCAGTTGTTGCCAGGTTTAACGGTCCGTGCGGTGAACTAACGGGACGGAACATAATTGGCGTCACTGCAAACTCTGAATCCATCACAACTGTTCAGCATATTTACTTACATGTAAACGGAAGTCGAAAACGGAAATTCGCCTCCTCCGCCCCAATCAAACCGGAATGCCAAAAAAACGGGGGTCTGCCCCCAGAAGCTATATCGCCATCTGCCGGAAGTCAGACGCCGAATACAACCGATGGGTTCCGAGAATGCTTAAGCCCCGATCACACGGGATTTTTTTAATTGAATGCCACTAATGAATGCCAGGCAGCCAGGCAACCACGCCATCATCTCCTTATCGTAACCTTTTTGTGTGATCACTCTACCATGAATTTATTAATGTTATTTATTTCACAGTAATTAGTAGGTTGTTACTAAAATGTTCAGGCAGAGGGTACTTGCTGTAGCTCTGGTTGAGGGTGAGGGGCTGTCAGCAAATAGTTTGTTCGGCACAGGGAAACAGACATCTGTGTGGGTACATGAGGCCCTAAAAAAGAGGTCGGGTCATGGAGAGTACCACTACTTGGTCTAGGAGCTTCGCCTCGATGATGGCCGTTTCCAGGCGTATTTAGGATGACTCGGGGGCAGTTTGACAACCAGCAACCGCTACCATCAGTTTCTCCTCCATTGTATACCAACTGTAAACTTGTTGCTGTGAATCATCCCATCCCATCACAACGCAGAAACAGCAAGCAAATGTCACTGGTGTTTTTGCCCCACTGCCCAATCAGATGAATAGAGAGGGAAGGTCCTCTGAGAGGGCAATGACACGATGTCAACCTAATGTGAGCTCACTTTCAGCGTCATTCTCATTTAAAACAATTACAAAAAGGTGCCTCCAGCTGCTCAATCACTTTCCGTGTGATCAAGGCTGTAATTGGAAAATGCTTTATTCTGAAAAAAGTTTTAATTCAGGATGTATTCAAACAGAATATGCTGTTTGTGTGACTCCTGTCACATTCAGAATATTGTCGTTTTGGAAATAAAAGTCAAAAGTTTGTGTGCATGTAAACATACCCAGTGATGTAGTGAGTTTAGCCAGAGTTTGTTGAAACTGTAATGACATCTGGAACGGTACTGATTCATCAGTTATGGATCAGATCAGACCCTTTTTTCAAAGATGATGCTAAATTTTAAATTTGGAAGTTGTAAACTGATTCTGGATTCACACTGAGGACTGTAGAGAACTTGTAGAAAGCACAGTAACTGATATCAACCACCAGGAGGCACTGTAATGTGAAGTAAAGGAGTTGTGGGATTATCCCAGAAAACAGTAGCACTATTAAGTATTGTCCATCTACTTTTATCATTCTGAGTGTGTCTGTCGTTAACTGATTAGACTGTGCGTTTATTTCCTAGAGACTTAATGATCCCTTCTGCACTCATATCCTTTTATTATTATTTTTTTTTAATTCTTCCAGTTTTTGTGCTAGAAAAAGCCATGCCATATGTACAGATTGTAAGGGCTTTTTCCAGTTCTGTGATTGCACTGTGCAAAAGGCTGTATTAAGTTCCTTTTGATGTCGACGAATTGTTTTTTACTACCTTTTTGCAGAATGTGAAATGTGTTGGTTTTTATTTTTGTTTTGTTTTGTTGAACCTGACATCCAGGTTCTATGATGAGGATTTTTTTTTTTTTTTTTCCCTTGACATAAATTGAGAATGAAGACATACAGAGGTATAACATGGATCAGCTTTAAGTCCACATCAAAGTTGGTTTTAAACAAGACACACACACACACATACATATAAAAGGAATTGAATTCCACTGCCTTAACCTGTAGTTGTAGAGAAAGTGCATTGGCATTCTTTTTATAGTTTCCGACCTCTTGCAAGTTTTGATGTCAGAACTTAATTTCATCTTGCATGACTTTGATAACAGTACTTGTGTACATGAAATGAAATGAACGATCTCTCGCTTTAACTGTTAGTACTTTGTTCAGGAGTACCACTCAGTGTATATACTGTAATAGCTTTTTTAATGAGACAAATTGCAGCTTTTCTGTGGGCATCCAGTTTAGCGGACATTAACAGGACTCTGCTGATGGTAGTCAAAGAGCCTGTGTGCATCAAGGTGTTGATCAGCTGGTGGTGATGCATAGATTTTAGTAGAGCTGATAGAACAAATCGATACCATGTCGCTGTGTTTTCAGACGCCCTTCTTTTTTTTGTTTAATTTCTACTGATGATTAAAATGGATCCAATCTATGTATTTATATACTTGTCTCTAGGACATGGTTACGTGAATGATTTTGTTTATTGAGGAGATACAAATGATATTTCTATGTTTGTTTGGTAAAAATAAATGAGAATTGCTTGATATCACATTGTCATAGAAATGCATTTTTCCCCTAAAGCTTACTAAAACTATTGTTTGCAGTATTATAATTTAGTTAGTTATATAAGGCTTGATACTTAAAGATTAACACTGCTACTTTTTTTAACCTGTACCCGTTTCCCAATGTTTTGTGCCTAAGTGACTTGTGGAAAAAAAAAATTGAAACTGTCCTTTACTGAGAGAGAGATCTGCAGCCGACAGACTCCAAACAGGCTACAAAGAGAAATACAGCATTGGGTACCTTACACTTGTTCCAGTCTGTTTAATGTGACCAAGTCTCAAAGGAGAAGTCATGACGTGTGACATTGAGATGACATTGAAAATCTTTTAGAGAAAGTAAGAAGCATTTTCTGTACTCAAACTATTACTGGCACTCCTCGTTCTAACTCTTAATCACATTTCCACCATTGTCTTCCTGCAAGAAGTCACCAAACAGACAAGTGCTTTATTTCTCTGTAGGGTCCTTTCCACAACATTGTCAGACACTTCTAATAACAATCTGAGCCTGCCAGTGATTAAAAAAGAGCACTTTTTTTGGTAGTAGGTGGTGATGTAGCTTGTGTCACATCGTCCAGCCGCAGCTCCCTCTCATTACTCATCCAATTTCAAATATTGTCAACCCAGTTTCAATCAGGAGAGACTTGTTTTTTATAGTTAAAAGAATATTAACACATGCAAATATAAATGAAAAAATATGAAAAGTCTTTAGCGATTAGACCCCATGGAGATGGTATGAATCCATAGTCAAAAAAGGAAACCCCACTCTGGAGAAATGAGCCCTTGTTGAGCTTGTCCTGGACTGTGGATACGATGGCTGGAGGTGAACAGGGTGGAGGAGGGCGCGAAGATTCTGCTTAAAATGACTGAGAGAGATAATGGCAAAGTTTGATTGGATAACTAGAAGAGTGAACACCTACGGTCAGCTGATTAGAGGAAGCAGTGGGAGTGGGGTGGAGAGAGTTGTGAATGGATGAGCACAAAAAAAGTCTTCCTGAGTGAACTTACCTGTGGATCCTTAAAAAAAGTCCTAGAAGGCACTGGATTCATTAATCTAAAAATGGGGCCTTAATTGGTATTAAAATGTATCACATAAATATTTTAAAGTCTTTAAATTGTTTGGGAGAGGAAATAGATTTTAATGATTTTTTTTTTCTTACAGGGTATTGTAAAATCTCAAAATAATTGTTAATATCTATCTTAAAAAATGAATTAAGTGAATTCTTCTTGCTTTAACACCAAGCAGCTTGGGGGGATAGGGGAACCAACAACACTCATATTTTGTTTGTGCTCAGAGCAGAGGATCCACCGTCTACTAGTTAGCTGTCACTGTTCCCCGGGTGGCACAGGGAAGTGAATTTAAAACAAAATTGGGAATTATCAAAGATTACACAGCATGGCTGAAACCGGTACAAGGCAATGCAACAGGCTGAGTGTATTTTACACACAAAAGAAGTTCAAACAGCACAATGGGAACCCCACATGCAGTGAGAAAAGATAAAAATGCCAAGAAAATCTACCAACAAACGCCAGGTATTTCCCAGTTTGTTTATTGGTCTCAAATTTATTTTCCGAGTGTTATTAGAAAATGACTTTAAGAGTCTTACATCTAGCTTGCCTCAAGCTATAGGAACCCTGCATAAAAAGTCTGTAACAGGAGCGCTTGATGATAAACTGTTTACATTTATGATGCTGACTCTAACAGCCAGAGCTCTTCAGGCAAGTTATATATAATGAAATCAGTTGTCCTGACTACGCACAGATGGTTTAACCATATTTAATTATGTTATCATGCCATGAATTAAAGGCATTTTTTGCAGCTGAATTCCACACAAGCAATACCGACAGTTAATGGTGCTTTCTTCCTGTTTACTGGCATCTTGTTTTCATGTTTACCGTCAAACTAATCCCAAATCTGTGGTTAATACAGTAAGGCTTCACTATATGTCACGGTGCAAATCTGTGTCAGCATCCAGTGGTGGCCCTGGTTGCAGTGACCCTCCTGAGACCAGACCGCTGCTGCAGTCAATGTGGTGAGGCAGTCGCACGGCACGCTCAGAGACCCTGACCTCCTTCGTCTCATCAGACTCTCCATCCCTCATCTCTCGGTTCATTTGGGATTTACTAGTTTTTAATCTCGTACAATCTCTGGCTCACTGTCCATTCAACTTCACTTCAGATATGTTGTTTTGTTTTTTTCAATTCTTTCCTGCCAGAGGATTGTTGTACTTATTTTCCTTGTTTGTCTGTGTGTATGAAAGGCAGATATATTAATAGTGAAGGTCACACTCTAATGGATGGTACTGTAGTCGCTCAAAGCCCTGCTATGAAAATCACTCGCTAATGCTGTTTTAAAAAGAGATCCATCCAAAGTCCGTGTGTCTGAAACCCACAGGCTTCACAGAGTGCAATGCTGAAACAAGTCAGCTAAGTGTGGTGGCATTATGCGGTCAAACTATCAAATGAGTTCACCCAAACACTGACTTTGGGATTGTACTGCTCCACAGCAC